AAGAAGGCCGGAGGCGGAATAGGCGGCCGCATAAACGGTCGGAGCCGTCCTGTCGGACTCAGATCCCATAGTGCGAGGGTCATAAAGGTCACGGGTGGTTGATGCCTGAGTCTGCATCTACTCGGGCCACCAACGTCTAATGGAAGTGGCGGCACGAAGCCCAGTTCACACATCCTGGACCCCACACACGTATTTACGGCTAGAATGATACAGCCTCAATAGCCTTTGTACTGGCCTGGTAATGGAACTGTCAAAATAACTAGTCCACGCAAGAACTGTACACAAACATATTTGATGTATGCAAATAAGAAAATATAACCTAAATTGCGGACAAATAATGACCTATGAAGAATGCTTTCATCTCGCAAAATAATAGGCGTGAATTACGAGAACTGTCTGTGTGCATAGGGACATGTCGACGCGATTTCTACTTGTATTCCTATAATATACAAAGCATTATGTACAGCGGGCGAAGACGTTAATAGATGGAAAAACTCATTCCTCAAAATGAACAAATTTCAACCCTACCGGTCCAGTGATAAGGTTCCGTTGGGAAAACTTGTAGGAATGGTAGCTGAAGATGTCGAAGAGGGAGGATAATTTTCGGTACTATTTGGTTTAAAAAGATTCCAACTGGCATTTGGACTGCCCTTCTCGATCTGAAGCTGAACGCGCCTGACGACCTCTGCGGCGTACTCGTTCGACCTAGCCGCGTCTTGAATGACGGCGTAAGTTGTGGGCTCACGACTATTCCGCAAAGGCGACCGTAGGAGAGCAAATTTGAGACAGGCGTCTACGGCAGCTAGATGTGGAGAGCGAGAAAAAACAGAACGCTTGTTTAGAATTTGCATAGGACAGACAAACTACCAAGTCGGGCGACAGAACCAAAAAAAAGCAGTCAAAGTGAGAAACAAAATGTGTCAGAATATAAATCGAACAGTTTTAATGGCCGGACCTACTGAGCATTTTCCCCTGGAAGAGACGTGTACGGTATAGTCCTACAGCCCCGGGAATTTAGCCGGCGTACTGGCGGCGGTCTGATCGTCACGAATGTGGACAACTCGATTACGTGTAAGAAGGTCCTAAGTGAAGATTGTAGCATGACGTAACGACTGTTATCTACCTTTAACTGTGGCCCCAGTTAGGACTGCGAGCTCAAACTGATGTATCGGAGGAGTGCATGGCGACCTTGGTCTTAGCGGGCGTATACTGGAAAATATATTTTCCCTAGCCCCTCCGA